AATATCACCCCTTTTAAAGATGACTGGTATACAAAATAGAATATTACACCTTTTAAAGATGACTGGTACACAAAATAGAATATCACACCTTTTGAAGATGACTGTTATATAAAATAGAATATCACACCTTTTAAAGATGACTGGTATACAAAATAGAATATTACACCTTTTAAAGATGACTGGTACACAAAATAGAATATCACACCTTTTGAAGATGACTGTTATACAAAATAGAATATCACACCTTTTAAAGATGACTGGTATACAAAATAGAATATTACACCTTTTAAAGATGACTGGTATACAAAATAGAATATCACACCTTTTAAAGATGACTGGTATACAAAATAGAAGATCACACCATTTAAAGATGACTGGTATACAAAATAAAATATCACACCTTTTTAAAAATTACTGGTATACAAAATAGAATATCATACCTTTTAAAGATGACTGTTATATAAAAAAGAATATCATACCTTTTAAAGATGACTGGTATACAAAATAGAATATCAAACCTTTTAAAAATGACTGGTATACAAAAAATAATATCACACCTTTTAAAGATGACTGGTATACAAAATAGAACATAAATTATATTCTGGAAAACTTTTCAATACTTACCTTATGTAATACCAGTTTCTATGAAACATCAATAATGTTCCTGGTGTAAAAGGACTGAAGCTTACCTGTAATACTTAGCTTATGTAATGCCAGTTTCTATAAAACAATAATAATATTCTTCTTGCCAAAGGACAGAAGCTTACCTGTAATACTTAGCTCATGTAATGCCAGTTTAAATAAAACAATAATAATGTTCTTGGTGCCAAAGGACTGAAGCTTACCTGTAATACTTAGCCTATGTATTACCAGTTTCTGTAAAACAATAAAAACGTTCTTGGTGTCAAAGAACAGAAACTAACCTGTAATACTAAGCTTATGTAATGCCAGTCTCTATAAAACAATAATAATGTTCTTGTTGCCAAAATACTAAAGCTCACCTGTAATACGTAGCTTATGTAATGCCAGTTTCTATAAAACAAAAATAATGTTCCTTGTGTCAAGGGACTGAATCTTACCTGTAATACTTAGACTATGTTATGCCAGTTGCTATAAAACAATAATAACGTTCTAGGTGTCAAAGGACTGAATCTTACCTGTAATACTTAGCTTATGTAATACCAGTTTCTATAAAACGGTAATAATATTCCTGTTGTCAAGGGCCAGAAGCTTACCTGTAATACTTAGCTTATCTAATTTCAGTTTTTATAAATGTTCTTGTAGTCAAGGGACTGAAGTTTACCTAGAATACTGTTGCGTCAGCGAGGTCACGTGACTAGTATCACGCCACGTCCTTTTCGAACCTTCATGAATTATCGGGAGACTACTAGATTGGGGGTAGTCTGGTATTCATAAGACCGGCCACGAAGCGACGGGAAGGTAATGAGTAATTGAAT